GAGCTGCCCTTGAGTGTTTTTGTGCAATGGGTGTGTGTGCGGGGGGGCAGCGCACACTCGATTTCCTCTTAGTTTCTGTTCCCATAGTACAGTGGTGGGTGGGTGTGCTGTGTCCTACCAGGCTGATGTTTGGGATGCCCTGTTCTCTTCTGGCAGGTAGCAATGGGCCACAGAAATTTTGCATCGATAAGGTTGGCAAGGAGACCTGGCTGCCTCGTAGTCACACCTGGTGAGTTCATCTGTCCGATTCTCCTGGTCTTGCTGTGCCCTGGGATGGGGGCGGGCAAAGGGTCTCCCTCCCCCCCCCCCCNNNGCCGCATTTGCTGATCCAACTGCCTTCTCCGTAGCTTCAACCGCCTGGATTTGCCTCCTTACAAGAGCTACGAGCAGCTGAAGGAGAAGCTTCTCTATGCCATCGAGGAGACGGAGGGCTTCGGGCAGGAGTGAGGAGGGGCCCCGGAGGCATTGGGCCATAACCTCTGGGGAGAACCATCCCAGATCCATGGAAAAGGGAGCAGAAAACCCCGGGAAAGGTGGGGACGTAGCTTCTTCTGAGGAATTCCTCAGGCTTTGACTCTGAGCAACGCAGTCCTTCGGCCCCACCCCTGGGCATCCTGGTGTCTTGCCCCAGATTCTTCTGAGTGATCCAGATGCCCCTGGCCCTCCCTCCCTCCCTCCCTTCCTCCCACAAAGCCTGTGGCTGTCCAGGCAGCCTGATCATGATGATCTGAACCAGAAAGCACTCAGCATTGAAGGAGGAGCACTTTGAGACCCACCCCCACCCCCACCCCGATGCTTCTCGTACAGCAGAAAGCTGGCAGGGGCGATGGAGCACCGAGGAGGCTGGGAGTGGCCAGAGGTGGCTTTGAATCCAGGATGGGAGGCCTTCTGGTTTTCCTATGCCTTCTCTCCCCCCCCCTTTTTTCCCCCCACAAGGCCCTTTCCTGCTTCCTTCTGCCAAGTTTCAGGAAAGGCCTCTGGTTTTCGCAGCCTCCCTTGGGCTGGGAGCCACGGAGGGAGTTGGAGCCATGGTAACCCCCTACTTCTCAAACTCACCAAGTGGAAGATGTGACTCAGGGCGGAGCCCTGGACAGTTTGCTGGTACCCCGTGGGCGTGGTGGCCTAGCCCTGACGTCTCAGGGACGGGCGGTGGGCTCTTAAAACCAGCAAGGCATACCCCCCCATGCAGCCCCCTTCTTAAAAGCAAAAACAAAACAAATTAAAAACAACAACCAGCCAATCCAGCTCGAGGCACAAGGTGCTCAGGCAGAGCGAGGCCGATGAGATGCAGAGCCCCCATCTCCCCATTTGGGGGCGGCAGGGGGGGGCTTCCTTCTCTGGAAGAGCCGGTGTCCTGAGAGAAGTTTGGATTTGGGAGCAGAGCTTGCTTGGAAAACTTCCGCAGATTCTCCCAGACAGAGCGGAGGGCTCCAGACAGTAAGAAGAGGGGGACAGATTTAAAAAGAGAGAGAGAAGGAGGGAGAGAGAGAGAGAAAAAAAGAATCCCGAGGAGAGAGAGAGAGAGAAAAAAAAAAGAATCCCACCATCTTGATCTGTGTGTGAATGTGTTTTAATCCCACGATTGTTTGGTGCCTGGTGGTGGATGCTTGGGAGTCTGCGTAGCTGCTCAGCTTGAGACAGGACCCGGAGATGAGAGCTGGAGACAGACGCACAGACACCCCCTTGGCAGGGGCCCAGGAGCAGACGGCCAACGGCTACGAGACTTGTGGTCTCAGCCTCCGTGGAGCATGTGTGTATTGGGTGTTTGTGTATGTACATATATATATATAGATGTATAAATATATAAATATAAATAGGTATATAAATCTGTATATAAATGTCTATGGAGCCAGAGAATTGGAATAGCTTTTGATGGGGAACCTGGATAGTTTTGTACTGCACCAATCCTGCCTCAGTGATGCCAATTTCTTGTGCAATAAAATAAAACTAAAAATCCACCACTGTTTGTGGGCATCACACCTCCCTTCAAGAGGCCGAGGGGGGACGTTTGCAGGCTCTGCCCCCTGCGTGTGGGGTGGAGCCGCTCCCCCAAACGTGTTCTGTGCCAAGTTCCAGATTGGCTCTAGGGCTCTTCCGCTTGCTGCTGAAAAGGGGAGGAAGAGAAGGCTCATTCCCATCAACACGAGAGAGGCAGGAGAGCAAGGCTTAGCTTTGTTGCCTAAAAGGCAGCATTTCCCTGCTTCGAGGTCATCAGACAGCCTGTTGCAGCCAATGCAGAGACCTGCATGTCCAGCCACAGAGACGGAGGGGCATCAGCAGCGCAAGGGCCCCGTGAAGCTTTTAATGTTGCCTAAAGGAATCCAGACCATCTGATAGGAGCTAGAGGTCTGTTGCAAAGGCTATGGGGACTTTATCCCCCCCCAAAAAAACACCCCAAACCCTTGTGGTTGGAAATGGTTTCTTGGGGAAGAGACGGGTGCTTACCTGCATGTCCCTGCTCTGCCCACTTGATGCTTTCCCCTCCCCAGCAGCCTGTGAGGCTGACTTCCATTGCGATGTAGCAGGGCGGTTCTGCTCTGGCTGGTCATCCTTCCCCACCCTCAGGACCAGAGGTCCTCCACCATGACCCGTTAGCCCCTTGTGGAAATGCAGTGGTTGCGGCTGGGCCCTTTGGCGCATGAGGTTCGGCTGAAGTCCCCTTCCTTCCTTCCTTCCTTTCGTTCGTTCTTTCTTTGAGTCTGGCTCATGAGGGGAACACTCCAGGAACCTTGACTGCCTGGGTTCTAAAATTGGCCCTGCCCTCTCCCCCTTTTGCCCACAACTGTACTTCTTCCAAGTCCGATGTTCTCCCTGCCGTCACTTGGCTGCATTCTGGCTTGGCTGCCTGCTTTCCCCCTGGGGAGGGGGAGCTGAAAGCAAAACAGTTTGTGATGCCGGACGATGGCAAAGCACAAACAAATGCGTTCCAAGTCATCACACACACACACACAAGGGACTCGCCAGGAACAAGCACACCTCCAGTTTGGAGGGTGGGAGAGAGTTTTTTGCAGGCCAAAAAAGGGCACAACGCTTGGCCTCCTGACTTCTCAGGGAAACTCCTTTGGAGCGGTCTGTGTGTGTGTTGTGTTCCCCCAGAAAGCAACAAGCGTACTTGGGAGGTTTTGCTTCCCTGGAGAACAGGGTGATCCTTCTTCCTCGAAGCGGAGCACTCTGAGCCAGCCAAGGCCTCTGGGCCAAACTAAACATGTTTTGTTGTTCCTCCTTCTGCCTGCAATGCAAGCTTGCTCCCAGCCTCTAGAGAGGACTTGATGCTCTCATAGCTGGTGGAGGGGAAGAGGCTGGCCCTTTCTGGCAGAGCCCTGATCTTTCCCTCTCCCTTCAAGTGACAGTTTTTCCGACCACCACCTTTGGCAGGGCGTGCCTTCTCCACCTGCCCAAATTCACACTTCTCAATATTTACAAAGCAAGCAAAAAAAACCCAAAACAGCACACAAGCATTAATCTTCCTGGTATCGCTGCTGGGGACACGGGAAGCGACTGACCTCTATTCCCAAAGCTCTGATGGGGATGTCTGCTTGCGCTTTGAGGGTGTGTTTGACTGTTGTGGTTTGCCTTGATGAGCAGCATCAGATTTCCTCAAAGGTTTGCGGGACCTGGGCCTGTCCCTCTCTCTCCGCAGAAGAGAGGCAGTGAGTGGGGCAAACAGGGTATGTGCAGAAGGGATGTGAGGGTGAAAATGGGTTTTGCCCCAAAAGACCCAGGTCAGTGCAAAAACCAAGGCTCTTCCAAAGGAATCTTACATGGAGAAAAAACTCCCCCCACCACCCTCATAAAAACATGGTCTGGGCATCCAAAACTCATCAGCATGTCTTCATAATGCAATGCTTAATTCACCCAGTTCTGTTGCCACAACAGGAAGGGACAGCAATACCTTGGAAGTCCAGGGCTTAGATGGCTTTAAATTTGGAGCTTACTCATCAGTGGCTATTGGCCCATACCTGTTCCGTGGAACTTCCTAGACCAATGGCAGCCCTTTGTCTTTGCTTTGCCACTATTGGGGCACAAGTATGGGCTCTTCCCATCACAAGCTGCTGGTAGGTTACACTCTGGGTCAGTTGGTTAGCCACTGTGGGAAACGCCAGGCTCTGTGGACCAATACCCTTGAAGACGCTCTTTCAGCTCCCAGTTGCAAGCATTGATGATCTTAAGTGCTTTTCACACAGCTCATTTTTAAAATGCAGCTGTGAAGCAGAAAGCAAGAGGCTTGGCCAAAGGTCTTACATTAATAATGGCCATTGTTGGTTTGAAGGAGGCCCCTGGAGAGCCCCATCGCAAAAACAAAACAAAAAAAACCTCATCTCCAGCCACAGAAGTGGAAGTTTCTTCTCAATCAAGCATGGCCTTTGCCTGAGCAGTTCCCAGATGAAATAAATCACTGAATCTATTTCAAACATACTTGGCTGCTTTTCAGAACTCAGACCGTTTTGGTCATCCTGGATATTTTCTGAAGGGGCAGAGATTTGCGTGAGATACTGCTTTTTCCTGTGTAAACCGAGACCTCCTCCACCCCAGGACTTCTCAGGGACATCCAGATAATCTCAACCATGGCATTGTATGGGAGTGACTGATGATGGGGTTGATACCATCACGCCTACTTCCCAGAGCCATTCTAGAAGGGGCTGCCAGGACACTGTACAGACCATGTTTGGAGGGCCTCTTATATTGCTAACAACAACATAAAACATCTGGAACAAAGCATGGAGTGGATTGTCATAACCAGCTTTATTTCTCTTTTCCATCTCCGGGGAGGCTAATGCTTCTGCCCGTGAATGACGCTCTGGGGCTGTTTAACAATTTGAAGGCCCCAGTGTGAAAGACAAGAGAGACTAAGACTAGATGGGGTCATGAACTGACAGGCAGAACGGGGACATAGGCTGAGAGGGTCCCAGATGCTGAGGCAGGGGCCAGGTTTACATCCAACTCTCCCTCATCTTGGAAGAGAGGGGTGTAGCTATGGTGGTGCGTGGATCAGTAACCTCATGTCTAGACTACTGAAATGAGTTATCCGGGGCTGCCCTGGAAGAAACACTGTGGATGATCCTTGATGGAAACCTGTTAAGTTTCTGGCCTAAATTGAAGGTGGCAGTGTTCAGTTTTCAAACTCTTTATAATGTGGATACCAGGATATTTGAAAGAACATGGTCTCAAATGCCTCACATGAAAACAGAAGTAAAGAAAAAACTTCAGAGGGTTCCATCATCCGGCTGTTAAGAGTCACTGCAGAGCAGTGGGACTAATGCAGACTAATCTCTGGATTAGTCCTAACACTTCCTGGGCTGGAGTGTGGCTCGTTACAAGGCACTGAAAAGATCTGCGCTCTGCAGATTATGTGTCCCTTTCCACTTTGGACTGCCTGCTGTGGTTTTCCTACTTTTCCAATTTGCTGGTATTGATAACTGGTCCCTTTTGCATTACCATTCTTGCACAGATAAGTAAGGTCATGCATTTTCTAAATGAAGAAGCCCGGCTTTTAAGGCAATCAATGCAAGAAGTACTGCTGCCATCTAGTGATGGAACGATCAGTAATATATAAACTTGGGCGAAGGAATCCAGAGACCCTGGCCACAATAAAGGAGTATCCACGGTTTCCTACCCATAGCCGCCTTTTCTTGCTACAGAAAACAAGGCTGGAAAGGGAACTGCTTACCCTTCTGCCTGTGAGGAGCCCCAAGCGGTAGCTGCGCCCCCAAACAGGCACCAAAGCAAAAAAGACAGCCTGTCTGGCTCACCCTTCTGAGAGTCATGTGCCGCGACAGCCAGGAAGGGCAGGGGAGATTTGCTTTCAAACATTTTAAATTAACACTTTGGGATCAATGTGGCTGGCAAGAAAAGTCTTGTACACATCCTGTCTTTGCAGCTGTTTTGCCACAAATATGCTGATTATTCTTCTTCAGCTCCCTTTCCCCCCCACATGCTAAGGACTGTTTTATGGCTGGTGCCACTTATACAGAGATACCTTCCAGCTCGAGAGACCCTTCCCCAACACCACCACCACCACCACCATCAAAGAATTGTTGGCAATGGTACCAAAATTCAGTTTACAAGATTTTAATTTACAAATGTTAAAATCCTACTCTACTTCTTCTCCTTCTTCTCCTCCTTCTTGGCATCGCTTTTCTCTTTATCTTTGTCCTTCTCGTCTTTCCTCTCCTTCTTGCTCTCCTCCTTCTCCTGCCCCTCCTTCTTCTCTGCATCCCTGTTGGCGATCTTGTTGTTGATGAGATTATGGAGGGCAACCACGGAGCGAATGAGCGAGGCTAAGTAGACCACCACCATCTGGTCGTTGGTCTTCAGGTAGAAAGCCTTGACAAACTCCTGCAAGTTGACATCTGGGAGCAGGTTGAAAACATCTTGAAGCTGGTAGATGATCTGGTGGTTGATGGGAAGCTTCCCCAAGGCCACTTTCTCCAGGTAGCTCCTGATATCTAGAAGTTTGGAGTTCAGTCCCTTCAAGCCATGGACTTGGTTTGTGATGCGCTGGGAAAGGGTGCCCACCGTGGTATCTTTAATATCACTGCAACAGCCAAGAAGGAAGAATCAGAACAAGAAGACCTGGGTGGCAGCAAAAGCTGAACACAGGATAACAGGACTTTACCAGACTCAGGAAGTCAAGGTTTTTCTGTTGCCTGAATCGGCAAGGGTAAGCAAGCTACACAGAACTCCCTTGCATTACCAGGGAAGATAATTCACTTCCCTCTTCCCTCTTCAGACTGTGACACCTCTGGACCCCAAGACAGGAGAGTGCCACAGATGGGAGAAGAATAAAGCCTGCATGGAGAAGTTCTAAAGGAAATGGAGAACCCAGGCTTTGACACAGGGGCCTCCCCTGTAGGGGTAAACAAAGGCCTTTGCTGAAGTCATGGGGCTTTTTCTATGCGTTTCTCATCCGCAAGAAGAAAACGATCAACAGCCTGGCTTTCTGCGTTGTTTTAAGGACTAGAAGACAAAGAACAGCAGACGCTGGGAAGCCCAACATTTTCTTTACCGTAGTAAATGCTCCACTCCAACTTCCTCTGCTTCCTCGGCTCCAATTTCACTGGTCACATGTTCAAATGTTTTGGAAGTGGGTGTCCCATCCTTTGGGGCACAAGAGCAAAGGAATAACAAGTCACGGCCTGGGAACAGGTGTCTCCCCAAGCAGAAAGCATGGAAAGGAAAGCGGGTAGGGCTGTTTCAACCCCTAGAAAGGGCATTCGTTCCTGAATCACAAAGCAACAACAAGAGCAGGCCCACAACTGACCAGTGCAAAGTGGCATTCCACCCAAAAGGAACAGAATGAGCAATGTTTTAAAATGTGGGAAGGTGAAACCGAAATGAGGAAAGGAAAAAAGTCACTTGCCATGGACTGCAAGCCCAGAATACTTACATCGTGAACTTCTTCCACGGAAATGTAAGCTTCCGTGGGCAGCCCCAGGTCCTTTGGCTTCACATCAATAATCACCAATACCTATTTAGAAACAACTCTTATTAGTACCATTTACTAAAGGAGTGTGGAAAAAGTTCTACCTTAGGGTTTTTTTTTGTTTTGTTTTCTTTTAAACAAAACCTTCAAGAAGCAAGAAAGCTGTATCCTGCCTTTAGTCTCCTGTTTCTTTCTAAGCGTGGCTCCGATAAACAGCAATAAAGAGTAGAATGGTCATTAATATGGTAGAGTTTGTATAAGCGTGCCCCCTTACTGAGTTTGAACAGTATCTCTTCATGAGCTCGTTGATGGCAATATCGTTCTTGTGCAGCTTCGGCCCGGTGTGATACCATCCCACAATTCTTTCTCTGGCTAGGGAAAAAGGCAAGGAAGGGAGAGAGAAAGAAGTGAGAACAAAAGCACACAAAGTGGCTGGAACAGGTTTAAATCCTGCACCTCATAGGTTAATATTTTATCCATTTTCAGAAACTCAGTAGCTGCTAGAAATGCATAGATTTGTACTGACACTGCTGAGCTTTGAATATCTGGCTTGGTTGTGTCTCAAAATTGGTTTCCAAAGAGCCCCAGCTGGATCCACGGATCACAGGTTTTTGTTTTTTTAAATAAGGCCTCATCATAGGCATTTGGTGGACTCTTTTGTTAAGTGGGTCAGGGAAGATTGTTGGGATTTTTTTTAGGTACTTCTTGTAGCTTTATATGAGAGCAGATTTAGCCATGGCTTGGAACTGCTTACCATTGACTTTCTTAAACATCCCGTACATGTTCTCCAGATAGTCATGATCCAAAAACCACACGGAGTCATCTTTATCATCTTCGTCAAAGGGGACTGGGGAAAAGAAAAAGGAAAAAGAAAAAGATTGTTTCTTATTGTTGTCTCTTCTTGTTGTGGGTCTCCAGGATCCTGGATAGAAATGTTTATCACCTGATCCTGGAGAAGACCTGCATGCAAAGTATGTGGTCTGCCACTGAACGTTGGACCCTTTCTCTTCTAGAATTTATTCTAGAATCAGATATACTCCATATGCTGTAGATACTCAGAACCAACAAAATCAGGGAGTGACTAGGAGAGATAAGTCACACAGGTTCAGATGTAATCTGAATTAAATGAGAAACCTCAACACTGCAAGAGTGCTGGATGACACCTCTTTGGGATGGAGCTTTTACTCAAATGCAGCTCAGCAGGGCTTATAAAGCTACAACCCAGGAGGTTATGACAGGCTTCCCAAAACCTAAGACATTTGTCATCAAGCCGGTTTCAAGTGAGACTGGTTACTGGGTTTTGCTGACCTGGCGACGAGTTTCATTCTATAAGCAATGTGAGGAGTTCCATTCTATAACCAATGAAGAGATAAAACATTCAATTTCCTCAAACCTCTGAATGGCAAAACTGGAACAGAGCAGAAAAGCATTTAGAACACGGCATCTGCTTTACCTGCAAAGCTGTTGGATACATCCAAAATCTTCTTCTGCCAGGAACCCAAAAGAACGCCCACCACTCGCTTCTGGTTGCCAACTTTTCCTATCCTAAATCAGGACAAGATCAAAAGAAGGAAAAACCTAAATCAAAACAAACCTGGCAGAAAATAAATCATGGTTAGCCAAGAAGACTCTACGGTCCCAGAATGTAAAAATTATATTATGTATACTTTATTTCAAATTAAAAGCCGAATTATTCCAAATTAAAAAGGGTTTCAGCTTAGCCTTTTCAGCCTTCTTCAAGGGCATGAAATGTTGCACTTTGGCTATCTCTGTTTAGCAAGAATTTTGTTTATTAGGTCTGAATCCAGCTCCTTCTGAATGAGTAATAATTGAGCTCAGGAACAACAAAACTTAAAAGACCCATCTACCTGTCCTAGGAACTGGAAACCCCTAGCCCTCCAGTAGGTTTTGACAACAATTCTCAAAATCCATTCTCAATGGTCATCCTGAGTGGTACCAGATGGGAGCTGTAGTCTAAAACACCTTCAAGACTGGAGGTTCTCTGTCTGGCAGCAGCAGCTCTCCCCAAATCTAAGCAGAAAGGTGTCTTTCCTATCACCTGCTGGTGCCTGACCCCCTGTTTTAACTAGAGGTGCCCGAAGGCAAGGAAAGCAGCTGTGCTGTCACAAAGCAACAGATCTGATAGGCTGTCATGGCCTGATGCTGGTACAGCTTTGTGGGGAGCCGTCATGCTAATTTGCACACCGATTTATTTATTCACAGGATGTAGCCCTGTTGGAAAACAAGAACAAAGAGTTCTGCGGTAGCCTGAAGATGAAACAGTTTAGCGGGCATCAACATTCAGGGATGCAGCCGCAACGGTGGTGGGGAATATACCTGCAAAAATGTCTCATAACGAAGGTTTTACTGTGATGAGGTGGGCCTGCCTTCGACCCACCCTGGTGCCCAAACGGCAAGTCATTAAAATGCCACAAGACTCTTCCCAAGTTTATGGATATTTAAGGACTATTGTTCCGCACCCCAAGGCTTTGCAACGAAGGTGGCCGGCGAAGGAAACCTCAATCCCAAAGCAACCCTTTATTGGACTTCAAAACAAGGAGTTGCTTCTTCTTCTTTCTTTTTTTGCACTCCAACTCCCAGAATCCCCCACCCACCCAGCATGGCCCCTCCGGAGGAGGGATTGTGGGAGTCCATGTCCAAAGAAAGAAGCAACTTCTACAGGTTCTGGGAACAAGGAAGGGATCCGCACGGGGAGGTCGTGCTCCAGAGCCCCTCCCGGTGCACCATCATCCTATCCTTCCGTGCTCCAAGGCCGGTGACTCAGCCTCCTCCTCCTCCTCCTCCTCCTCGGTGCCAGGGCAGGCCCGGCCCGGCCGCTGCTTCCGTCTCCCTCTCCTCCGTCTCTCCCGGCGCGGATTCCTTTGGGACGCCGTGCCTCTGAGCATGTACAGAGCGCCTCCGCCAGCAACAAGCCCCCTCCCCCTTCCCCAGGGTCCCGGAGTGGCTCCGGGGGCCTGTGACTCAGCACCAGGCCCCCGCTCGCCCCTCCGCCTCTCACCGGTTGAAGTGGTCGACCACGCTGAGCAGCACCAGCGGGTGAACCACCACCCGCTCCACGGCCAGCTCAGGCATGGCGGCGACCCGGTCGGCTCCTCGCTCCGCTCCCGGCACGGCTCCTCGGCCGCCTCCGCTCCCGGCATGCACTGCGGGCTCCCGGGCGCCGGACGGGAAAAAGGGGGAGGAGCCATCTTGGGAGGGGACGCGGGCGGGCGAGCGCTATTGGCTCCCGGCGCGAGGAAGGCGGCGCTTCTTTTTTCTCCCTCGCTATATATTTCAGGAGGGAGGGGAGGTTCGGCCGGCGCCATTTTGGGAAGGCTGCTGAAGGACGTCGTTGCCAGGGAGGACAACTTCTGTGCCGCCCGGCCGCCATATTTAGGAGGGCAAAACGAAGGGCGCCATTTTGGGATGCTTTGGCGGTGGAAGGCTGTGAGGGAGGGGAACCTAAGAGGAAGAAGAGAGGCTAGACTTTGTGGAAGTTATTTTCCTCAGTTATTTAGATAATAAGCCCCAGAATCAACTTACTAGCCGTGCTGTCTTTTGGGAGAATCCGGGAGCTGTGGCCTGAAAAGGCACCATTTCCAAGCCGTGCCAAAAAAAGAAAAAAGGAAAGATATAGAAAAGGAGGAACACCAGCCACGGTCTCCTTACACTCCTGTAGATGACTTTATTTATTTGTATAGAAATAACGTCCACAGCAGACAGCTCAGAACAGTGTGAAATAAGACTTTTAAAGAGCCAAAACACTTTATTTTCAAAAGAAGTTCAATTTCTCCCATATCCACTCTTAAGGATAGAGACCAGGAGCGACTGGAGTGCTGCTGAACCTTATTTACCTCAAGTTGCGGGAAGTTTTGTGGGACCGAGAAAAAGCCAGGGGAACCCAGCATATTCCATCTTTTGGCTCTTAGAAGCCAACGCTGTGGTGCAGACCCCTGGTGGGGGATCTTTATGACTTCCCTCCTGTGCTATCCCTGAATGAATTTTCCAAAGTTATGAATGAAAGGCCATTTTTTCCTCCTTTGTTACTTAATTATCTGTTAGAATAGTCCTTAAGAGTTAAAAGCTCAGCAATGTATCACTGGTCTCCAAATATTTACCAAATAAAGGCCAAATATTTACAGCAAAAAAGCAAACAGCTCAAAAGCAAAGAAGGAACCAGTTGTGACTTCTCCGCCTATTATAGGTCAATGGCAATGTTTTTATGGGAGTTCTTTGTCTCTTATACATACAGTACAGGCGCTTTGCAAGAGATACAACCATTCTTGTTTCACAAATTGTAGCACCTAGATTGTGAAATGGCAAATGGCAGAAGATCCTCCTTGAGAGAAGAGGTCTGTTTGGAACCTAGATTTTTCGGGTCTAAGCCCAAGTCTCTCCAATACATGCTGGCTCTCATGTGTTTTTCTTGGGATTTGGGGAATTTCTTCAGGCTTGTGATATGTCTGAGGAACAAAGGTGTTATAGATTACTATGTGATCATACATTTTTGTAAGAAGAAGCCTCTTGTTTTCTGGCTTGAGGACATGCAATACTCACCTTTTAATGCCGTGCAGTCTGTGATCTTGATTGGTAGGGACAGCTTGCTCATTAGATGGTACCCAGATAAATGACGTTTGTTCACTAAAACTTAGAAATAAAGTAGGCATTTCTTGATGGCCATTCCTGCACTGTAGCTTCACAACCCTTTTTCCTTTCCTTGAATTATGTCTCACAAAAAAGATTAGACTTTGTGAGTCATCCTTAAGACTTAGGTGAGATTTCACACTGCAAAAGCCCCATACAGAACAGCTCACCTGAATTCAGTTTACGTCTAATAATGGAGGAAGCAATGGGCCACTGCCAAGCAGTCTCTCCAGAAAGCACTCCGCTCCCATCGCCTTCTCTTTGATAATGAGAGAGACCTTCAGGTGCCTTTTCTGATGTTAGCTACAGCACTGTGGCATGTAAAGCGAAGCAGCCTCCAGAGGCAGGAGGGAGGTCCAAGGCTATTTAGATAACTGCAGGTCAAAAAACAGCACTCTGAAATTGTACCTGGGGACTTGCAGGCAGCCGACACAGATCACAGGATGTGAATAGGAGCAAGAGACACAACGTGAGTGGTAGGTTTTTGACAAGAAGTTGCGGGTGGAGGTTGGCATCCCCTTTGCTTTCCTAATGTGCAAAAGGCTCCATGCACAGAACTCACTGCAATGCTGAAATGACGCATGTAGTAAGTGTATGGTAAAAAAATAAAAGACTAAGTCTTTGGCATCAGATACGGATAAAAGAAGGACAGATGTTGCTAGAACCCTTTGGCAGGCTGCTGAGAACAAATTGTACAAAATCGTCCCCATTTATGGGAGAAAATGAATGTCCATTGTTGCTTCTGATTATTAGATGTTTCTTTGTTCATCCCTCAGTTGCAAGCAGTCAGTATGAAACCTGTGTAACCACTGAAGCAGATGAAAAGAAACAAAACAAAGATATAAGCTATCCTTCCTCAGCTGGCAAGTCTAATTTGTGAGATGTATTCTTCTAATGCCCGCCACCTCTTTTACACATAAACATGCACAAATATTCTTCCGTGTCCCCTGCCATGCCTTCTTATATTTGGCAACTGTATTTTGCTATATTTTATTTATTTTTTAATAGCTCACCTTTCCAACAGAGATAACTTCTCAGCAGCTGGCAACTTAAAATGTAAGATACAATTAAAAAATGTAACAGCAAAAACATATTTAAAACATAAACAAAAACATGTAACCACCAAGTACAGTGGGGTCTTGACTTGAGAACTTAATCCGTATTAGAAGGCGGTTCTCAAGTCAAAAAGTCTGTAGGTCAAGTCTCCATTGACCTACAGTGCATTGAAAACGGATTAATCCCATAACAGGCCATTTTTGTTCCATTTTGGTTTTTTTCTGGTCTGTAAGTCAATTCTCAGGCTGCAAGTCAAACCTAAATTTTGCGGCCAGAGAAGTCTGTAACTCAAAAAGTCTGTAAGTCAAGCCGTCTGTAAGTCAAGGGTCCACTGTAAAACATCAGCCAAAAATCCATGTCAATAAAAGCATTTTTGCCTGGCAATCTTGGTCCTACCCAGGGAATGCTTCCACACTACGAAGTTGTAATACCTTAGTACCATGTTAACTACCACAGCTCTTTCCTGTGGAATCCTGGAGGTTGTAGTTTGGGGAGAGAGCACTAGGGCCCTCCCCTGAACTAGAGTGGGGAGTTGAAAGGCCATATCACATCATGCTTTAGAATGGAAGTGCTGTGACACTTGAACAATACCAAGCTACTGCAACCATTGGGTAGATACACTCCAGGCTTGTACCTCTCCATACTGATCCTGGTGCCTGGAAGAAGTTGCTGTCAGTTTCATTAAAGTTTGCCCTGAATCATTTCCTTCTTTCTCTTACAGGTGCTGTTTCTTGCAGACTTCCTTCTGTCAATAAATGCCAGAGGAAGAGAAGATAAGGTAAGTGCTTGCAGACATCTCTGCACTTTAGACTTTTGATGTTAATGTCTAAAAAGTTTCTTGAAATATGATATCCTGGAAAAATGGATGTTTCTGGGATATCACAGTGCAGGATTCCACGGGGGTTTGTCTACTGCAAAAAAAAGTAAAAAAAAATTCTCCTGGTTAGTACTGGTGTTTCTACCACAAGCTATTGTAGTAGTAGATTGCGATATGAGGTCTCGGTTGGATCGATTTCAGTCTCTGAGGGAAGGAGTTGACCTTTTGTGTTTTGGATTTCTGGTTGGAGATTATTCCTCATAAGAAGCAGTGAAAACGTGTTAAACTGGTGGCACCTGAGGTTGTCACTCCAGGGTCCGTGCTCAAATAATATCAAAGAGATGGATGTTGGAGAGAATTCCCAAAGCAGTTAATGTCTTTTCTATTTTTTAAAACCTTCAGATGTTCAATAATGTTTCCTTTCTCTTTAAGTCTAACACATCTCCAAAGTTTTTGCTGCTGCTTGGTGAAACAAGTCCATTTAGCCTTTTTGTTTTTTATTTTGATTTTCGAGTGACTGACTGTGCGAGGTGTAATTCCAAAGGGGAGGGGGGATCCTAATTGTGGGTGAGCTAAAAGTTTTTAAATAAACAAATAGGTTAGCACTGCTAACCCTGTTTTGCCAGCCTAGGCTCTCCTGAAATAACAGCTTCCTAAGCCCTTATGTTGAAGGAGACTGCTGATTTATTTTAAAAGAGCCAGGGCCCTCTTGTGGCATTTTAAAAAGTTACATCATATCCATTTCTATTATTTGATTTTATTTTACTTCTGGGTGGAATTTAAGCTTCTTTGCAGCAGGGGGAGACATTTGACCATACATTAGACCGTCACAACGCCATCTTTGTACGTTTGTTTTATCAATATACATATAAAACTCAATGTTCAAATTAACTAGTTCAATAAGTAATTTAGCTCATTGATTTTTGGGCATATCCTAAGTGCCATTACAAGCTATGGATATTTTAAATGCCATTACCTAATAGAAGGGATGTTTAAAGCACCTTCTATTGATTTTATTACTGCTTTATTTTGCTGTCTTGGTTTAAAATCTTTTTAACCACTCAGTAATCAAGAAGAAATATATCGTTGGTGAAATACAGTCAATTTCCGAAAAACCTTTGACATCGTTAACTAAGGAATTACAGTTGTTAAATCATGTCAGGCAATAACCAAGGGACAGAAAAGATGTACATTTGGAACAGTGGGCCAGCGTTACCAGTAAGCCGCTTTGACCTTTGCCATTCAGACTTTATGTATGTGACAATCACACCCTGGTTCTCATTTTGGCTCTTACGTCAGTGTTTTTGGCAGGAAATATGGCTGGAAACATTCATCAAACTAATCAGCCTATTAATCAATTAATTCATTAATCACAGATTTTAAACTGGATTCTAAATCAAACAAATCAATGCTACCTTCTGTCAGAGGCCCTTTGTGTATAAGTTATGAAATATCATTTTTTGAAGTTAGAATATCTTTTTAAAAGCCATTGACAAACTATCAGTCTGTATAATTATATAGGAAACACTATTAACTCCTTCAGGTACCCTTAGCTATCACCTGTATAGTGACCACTGGGATGTTTGTATTATCTGGATAATTACAAACAGGTTAGTAAAAGAAGAATAATGTTAATTTGAGCAAAATTAGTTAGCAATGGATAGACTTATTTTAAAAAGCATATAAAGTCTAATCAGCCCACTGAAAGCTAACTGCAGATGATCAAGCAAAAAGGGTTATTTTAAGAACCCACCCTTGTCTTGTTCAAATCATGGCTTAGCTTAATATGTGAGAAGTTTCATGGAGTTAGTGATATTTCTGATAATGTTGCATGCTAATGTTATAGCAGCAGAGATGGAAAATGTGTGCGCTCTGAGGAATTCCAGCTGAGTGTCTTTAAGATTAACGTGAATAGATTAACTGTGGCATAGGGGCAACTACTTGGTAAAGGCAGAGTGCAAATACACTCTGTATAGGCTGACTAATCAAAGAATTGCCGAGGTATGTAAGTGAGCTTTGAAGCTCAATAAAATCCCACTAATGAGATGATTAAATTGACATCTCACATGTTTGTACTATAGAGCAGCAAATATCAATACCTCGATATGATTTGTCAGTTGGCTCTCAGGTTGTGATGTGAGAATTGTCAGGGTTTCTAAAGCAGGATAAGAAGATCATAAAGGCTGCTAAACATGCATGCCCCCCTGCCAGATTTTGCAAAGTCAGGTCCTTCAATCTTGAACAGCTTTCTTTCTTTGCTATTAACCATTAAGTGTTTAAGTGGCATTCCTGTTTGGGCAGGGGCTCAGGTCTATGTGAGCTCCAGAATCAGTGGGATTTGGCTTTACCAAAGGTCATGGAACTCTATAAAGGGACATGAATTTACTTCTGTCCAAGAACTGCATGACAGAAGATATAGCCTCAAGCAATTACAAATTGCAAAATTATGTATGTGAGAAATCTCACTCAATCCAAGTGATTTTAATGGAGAAAGGAAATCCAGAGAGCCATGTGCCTCCCTCATGCATAGATTGCTAGTGCTGGCTTTTCTTTTTATATGCTAGGTTTGCTGTGTGCTGTGCTGGTCGCTGTACATTCCAGTGTGACCACAACTGCTGCAGATATTTGAGCGTGCAGCTTTCCGATACTCCCTCAAATGCTAATCCTGATCAGATATTTATTGTGTGGTGCTTGGTCTCCCTGAGTGTATTGCCAGCTATGCACAGTCTTTTGTTATTCACAAGCATGTTTATGCTGAAGTGTCTAACGCTGATATATGGGATATTTTTTAAAACTCTAGAAAAGGGCCATGGCTATATTAAGTAACCTGACTGACTATAAGGGATCGGTGACACACACACACCCCAGACAGGATGGTCACAGCTTTGTGGGAGCATCCAGTTGGGTTTTTGTCTTGCTATTTGTGCCATGTTTCTCACTGCCCTTTCAACATTTAATCCCTCAAGTCCACATTAGGGTTGTTCTGCTTTGTGTATATGTAGGGTGATATTTACAGTCATTCTCTCTTGCTCAGTAGGGTTCTGAATCTCATACACTAGACCTACCTAAAGATTCCACTTCCATGTATGGATTACACACACTGGATTGGGGCAAAAGAAGTTAATTTTCTGTTCCATGTCACTCTTGGAAAATATAGGTGTCCAATATAAATTCAGAATATGGATTTGTCTGTTTTGGCAGCTATCTTGTTTTGTGATATTGGCTTTCAATGAATGAGTAGTTTTGTTCTCCCCTTGAGGAGATGACCCAGCAGCTGGCAGATATGCTTTCTGGTCTCTGTGAATTGCTGGAATTCTCATCTTAACAGAAGCATAGCCATCTCTTTAGTTTATAAAAGATGCAGCATGCAGTTGCTTAATAATTACAAATGTAGAAAATGCGATTGTTTTCTGTCCTTTCTCTTCCCAACCCCAATATGTAGAAAAATAGGAAAAGGCCGCATAGCATCTGATGACAGTGATGACAGACATGTTGTCCTTTTGTGTGAAAGCCAAATTAAAACAGCTGTTTGCTCCCCCACCCACATAACCTGGTGGGTGGGGGAGCAAACCCCAAAATATGAAGTCTAAAAAGAAAATGGCTTTTTAAAAATAGGCTTTGCTTGCAGCAATGTTTCCACACCTTGAGGACTAGCAAATTCTTTAATATAAGGCTTTATATGTACCAAGCAAAACTTCAAAACTACTCAAAAGCTTTCTTATTAACTGCTGTCAATCCTGTGATTTACAAGGGCAATAAAGATCTAGAGGGGGCACATTTATCATGCAGTTCAGTGCACCAGGAGCCATTTTCTCAAGCGGTAAAGCGAAGCGATAAAATGAGTTCTTTTGTTCTATAACCTTCTTAAAATGTGTGTGTTGGTCTTTCTGGCTTGTAGTTGGGCTCAGCTCCTGCAGCTCTCCATCTCCCAGTGATGATGGATTGCTCAGGCTTTGGTGCTGATGGTGCATCTGGAGCCACAGATTCTCTGAGTGATACAAATTTACTTCCCGCTTTCTATTAGTTGCCAGCATTATTTATTCCTCTGTGCTTAATTTTTATTTTATTTGCATGACACTTTTGAAATTGGATGGAAGAAACTCTCCTATCCTTTCTTCCTAAGAAAACTCAGATAATTCTGATTTAAGAGAATATAAAATCCTCATGTTTATACCAAAGAAACATTCTTCTGATTTGTGATGCGGATGTTGGGAGGCAAAACTGCATTGTTCTACATTTTGACACACACTCTTCAGTAGATGATAATAACTTTGGTTTCTGTCTTCCATTGAAGGCAGGGGATGGAGTGGAGTGGGGAATATTCATTTCCACCACTGTCAACAAATAAATGGCACAGTTGTGCTTGATTTGCACCCTAACAATTATATGTGATTTCTAATGAAGGTGCCTGAGCCGTATGTAAATAGACTCATGTTCAAACTAATTGGGACATGAACATGTGTCTTTTCTTTGAGCCAAAATTTAGTTACATGTAGCTTTTGAAGGAGAAAAATGTTTTAATGTCATGTTCATGTTTGTCATCCCAGTACATGGCAAATATTGTCTTGTTTTTCCACAAGAGTATTCCTTATTTAACATCTTCCTTTCAATAACATTTTTGAAACAGACAACACATCTGCATTTTTCAAAAAGAAGAAATGTTTAAAATCAAGGCAAACAAATTGTAGATTTTCTTTGTGAGCAGATTGCTCAGGTTAACCAGCATGCCATAAATTAGATGGGGGTGGAGGGTCAATTGTATTGTGTCTTTTTTCTTTTTAAAAAACCAGTAGATTTCCCCTCTGGACTGCACGACAACCTGTTCTCATATTTGGAAATCAGTTATAGTTTACTTCTCAGGCTAAATATAGACGGAGGTTTGTGGGGAGTTATCCAGTAAAGAATGGTTCACACTTGCGTTTTTTTCTGCTCATGGCTTGCAATCCTGTCCCATCCCCACA